GTATGTATGTATGTATATGTGTGTGTGTGTGTGTGTGTTTTGTGTGTGTATGTGTGTGTGTGTGTGTTTGTGTGTGTATGTGTGTGTGTGTATATGTGTATGTATGTGTATATACAATTTTTTATATATGTGTCTGTGTATGTGTCTGTGTCCGTGTCCGTGTCTGTGTCTGTGTCTGTGTTTGTATGTATAGTGTTCTTGATCTTGCCCGTCATGTGTAGACCGCCGGAAAATCGAGCAGTAGCTTTTCATTGGATTGAGAAGTCAGTGCAATATTTTGCTGTCTGTCAGCAGAGGCTATCTCACTTTGTCCTAAATTTTATTCGAAACGAACAAATATTGGTCTCTAATATTGCAGGCATTGAGAGCACACGGTGTTGGTATGTCAGAATCTCTAGTGGACAACGAAGGATTTCCGCGTGTTGATTTGGAAATACATCAGATCCGAATTCTGCGCAATGCAATCGCGCGATCAACAACGGATATAAAGTATGTTTCTACATCATTTTTGTCGAGTTGGTCATTTCCGCCGAGTTTCAATGATCGATGACAAATATCCACTGCCGATGGTGGGAAATTATAGTGTTATTTATACACAATGGAAGTGAAAATTCAAGTTTTATTGCCGGACATTTTAGCGTGGCATGATGTTCGCGTCGATATTTGTATGTAACTGTAGACCAGGCAGTCCGCGCGTTAAATATGTCAAGTCAATCTATGAAGTGTCTGATAGGACCATTCGAGCCTAAAGCAATTTTTTTTTTCATTCCTTCTACAGGCAAATAATGTCAGATCTAGAAAAAGCGATTCACGACTTGCACAGTGAAGCCAAAATAACATCCGCCATCAACACACAGGATGGAGCTGGGCGTACATTACGTGCCACTGCAGATAACAATACCCATATTACCTCACAAACGGAAGTGACTGTATCTGACATGAGTGCGCTCGAGCCGTTTCTATCAGTAACAAGTGTGGCCGAGTCGTCCCCTGCTGACGCAGCTGGTTTGATGAAAGGTGATGAGATACTCAAGATGGGATCTGCTAATGCACAGAACTTCCGGAGTCTACAGGTATGTTTAGATCTTGGGGATGATACTGTCGCGATTTGACTACTATGCTCGTGTCTTTCTAAAGCATTGAAGGATTTATCATAATCAGTTTTGTGAGACGGCTTTATTTGACCTATGGAACTATCGTATGACGTGTGCCAAAGCGCTGCATAGCGATAAGATTTTTTAAGTCACTAAACAGACATGGAGTTTATGTATTTCAGTTGCCATAAATTTATCATGTACAATTTCGAAGCATTTAGGAAATGTGAAACTGGCTTTCGTAGCTTCTCTTTTTTTTTGGGGTGCAACGGTCGGCGTAAAATAATGCCATAAAAACCACTATGTGATGGTGAAAAATTGTGAGAGTAGTTATGACATTGAGTTCGCTACATCGCATAGTGATGAAACAACGATTTATGCTCTATAAACACCTAGTTTAGATATTAGTATAATTCCTGAATGGAATCGTATGGAGACTGGATATGTTGGTTTGTATCTTGTTTGAACTTTTATTGACTAAAGTGTTAAAGAATCGTGCTGAGGATCACTTCATTGAGACTGTAATTTTACGTCTATCGATTATAGTCGTAAATTTTGACTATCTGCGTTTGCATTTGCTGTTTGCGCGTATCGGGATTCTGACAATATAAGTTTGTCCGAATCTGCTAACGTCCATTCCTGTTTGCATGGCCAGGATATCTCCGATCTGATAAACAACAGGGAGAATAGAGGCGTGGATATTGCTGTTCTGCGAAATGACGAGTATGCTTTTTGCTTATTTCTTGTTTGGTGGGTGTGGGTGTGCCGTGTTGTACAGTTGACGCAGCCAGTATGTGAACGGGGCCTACCATTTTCGCTGCATAGGTTATGTACGCTATCCGGTTGTTAGTTTCACTGATTCAAGTGGAGCCATCACAAAGGAAGGCAATACGGGGCGCGTTGTACGCAAAAAAAAAATTCGCTTAGGAAGTATTTTATTCTGGATTTTAATTCCTCGTATGATGAGTTGTGCATAAGTGCACGACTTGTAATTTATGTGATATTTCGCATTGCTTAGCGTTCTGTTTCTTCGAAATTCATCCCAATTTCGGCTTAGGCGTCTGCAACTATATCTCACGCCGAAAAAATGGAGCGGTCGCGGTCTCCTGGGTTGCCACATTGTCCCAAAGTCTTTGTAGCGCTTAGAGATCCGTGCAAACAACAGAGGGAAGAATTCACAATCGATCGTTCCCTCGTCCTTAAATATGTTGGGTGCTTGCTACAGCAGGCTCTAGACCAATCAAAAGCCGCCGATTATATGAGAATGTTTGTTTAAAGGGTTCAACCAATCGCTCGGAACATAATCAACCTACCTATCACAATTAACATCTCGTGCTGTATAGAGGGATGAAGCATGCAATTAATCTGGCGATTAAGGTTTTGTACCGGAGTCTTGATGAACAGTCGGGAGTCGCTTTTAATATGATGTGATCACCTTTTTATTTCCATACAAGCAAGCGAGTACAACACGCCAGGTGTTTGAAGCATATGAACGACGCCAACACACTTGACCGCATTTTTCTTTTGTTTCTGATCTGTGTGCAGAACAACAAAGATTCTATTATTTTCTATCTAGTCCGCAGTTGTGTTTTACATAAGATTGCAACGAGTGGAAGTATCCAGAGTGCGACATGCTGCTCACGGTATAGATTCGCGATATGTCAGATTGCGCTGGACGACTTGCTTTTTGATCAAAATGAGCACCAGGGTCTGTGCCTCAGAATTCACAGCTTGGTTTGGGTGCATGAGTTGGTTTCCCTCACTGCGTTCTTGTATATCTGCGAGTATAGGGCTTCCACATACGGACATCGCATATATATAAAGGTATCCTGGTCTCTCTTGAAGGCGTAAGGAGGATATTAAAATACAGTTAGCTCTATTACTCGGATAAAAAGTTTTTAAACTCTTTGTAAGAATCAATTTCCTTTAGTGCAAAGCAACCTTAAAACCAGCCATTTCCGATGCCTTCCTCCAGCATGAGATATTTCTATTTATATATCGCGGAGGGCTGTATGATCATCTAAGACGGCAGCGGCAATCGTGATACCAATAACCACTTCGACTTTTCTTTTACTATCTAGCTAGCTCAAGTCATATGTGTATTGGTACGTTTGAACGTACAAACCGCACTTGGATTCTCTAACCATCATAGCAGCCAGCAAACATCGCCAATTGGTTCGTCAGTTAACTTAGTGTCGACCTAACCGTGTTGTGATTTTACATTATTTCTTTGGACAGCGAAAAAGTTGGCTTTTCCTGTACTGTTCTTCGCTGCCGTAACTGTGCTAGACAAGAATTCAGATTGAATTTTGAAATCGGGAAACTAGAGCAGAGTTTACACGATATTAGCAAATAAATGTTCTGTGTCTCCGTCGCTACAACGCTCGGACGAATAAAACTGGATATATATATATATGTTGGAACGAAGGTTAG